TCGCTTGCATCCTACCTTTTGTACGTGTGCAACGCTCTGACATAAAAAGGTGCTGTGACATTCACAGGAGCTGTCGCTGCAACCCAAAGATGATATTGTTGACAGAACCAAGATGGAGGACACCCTGAAGAGGCGGTTCTTCTATGATCAGGCCTTTGCCATCTACGGAGGTAACGTGTTACATAGCTACTAGTAGAGTGGGCAATTGTGAGATTTTTTTTATGGTTATTTTAAGAACTGTAATTTTCTGGGGATGAAAATACTTAAATGATGCTTGCATACTTTTCGTTCTTTTTCTTGAGATCTTTCTTTTTACTGATGCTGTCCTTCCTTTCAATACCTTGTGTCCTTCAGCTAGTGTCTGGTTTCGCTGGTTTTTCAATCTAAGCTAGTCTGCAGAAATTCTTAGTGATGTTTGTATTTTTAAGTGAAGATAAACTAAAAATAGTGGGAAATTTTGTCTGGAAATCTGTTAAATTTTCTAATAAAAACATGTTAAAGGATTCAGTGAATTTGTGTTAGGTGGTCAAATAAAAAAAAAGATTATATTTGTGTTTCTGATTGGTAACCGTTCCTCAGGTGTGAGCGGCCTGTATGACTTTGGCCCTGTTGGCTGTGCCCTGAAGAACAACATCCTGCAGATGTGGAGGCAGCACTTCATCCAGGAGGAGCAGATCCTGGAGATCGATTGCACCATGCTGACTCCTGAACCTGTCCTCAAGTAGGTGCACTGTTGCAGTGCTGGAAGCCTTATTCATGCAACAGAAATGTTTACGATTACTTCTGCACATCCATCTGATTTATCTCTCTTAGTAAGCTCAATTAAAGTGCAGACATACAATTTTAAATTCTAACATTTCGTCTCATATCCCTTGATGTAATCTACAGAAAAAGCCAAATTGTTTATTTGACTTCTTTTCTTTTCTTTTTTTTTCTTTGACTAAAGTCAGAAAATGTTGTTTTGCATTCAATCACTGCCTCTGCTGAAAGCGCCTTGTGGTTCCTAGAGTCGGCTAAAAGTGCCGAGCTGTAGGTTTTTATTGACGGGCGCATATGAACTTCTGCGATTTTATGCATGGAACCTGCAGCTACAGCAGCGCTCCATAGCCCGGTTGCAGATACACTTGACTGTGGTTTGAATTTCCTCCTTGAAGCTCATTCTTGCTATGCTTTGTTCCAGGACATCTGGACATGTGGAAAAGTTTGCAGACTATATGGTGAAAGATGTCAAAAATGGCGAATGCTTCAGGGCTGACCACCTTCTGAAAGGTAAAAACACTACTTAAGGTTAAGAAATGAGTTTTTAAACGTGAACTCTTGACTCATTAAGAATTAAAACTAATAGATTCTTCTTTTAATGGTTTACTGACTGCGCTTAACAATTTTCATCTTGTAAACTGGTCAGTAATGGTTGTCTTCAATTCTAACTTTACTGCTTTGTTTGTTCGCCTGCAGCTCATCTCCAGAAGCTCATGTCTGATAAGAAATGTGCAGCTGAGAAAAAGGCAGAGATGGACAGTGTCATCACTCAGGTCAGTTCCACAAAAAGATTTAATTTTCTCGATGAGTAAATGATTTCTGACCAGATTATATTGTTTTTAAAACCATTTTTAGTTGGACAACTTCTCCCAACAAGAGCTGACAGACCTTTTTGTGAAATACAACGTCAAGTCTCCCACCACAGGAAATGAGCTCACCGCTCCCATCTCATTCAATCTGATGTTTCAGACATCCATTGGACCAGGAGGGAATATGCCAGGGTGTGTTAAAGCATTTAAACTGTGGGGACAGTTTGTAATGGTTTTTGTTCTATTGTAAAATCTCTGAATATGATGTACATTTCCAGCTATTTGAGGCCTGAAACTGCTCAGGGAATCTTCCTCAACTTTAAGCGCCTCCTAGAGTTCAACCAGGGGAAACTTCCCTTTGCCGCTGCTCAGATCGGAAACTCCTTCAGGAACGAAATCTCTCCTCGCTCTGGACTCATTCGGGTTCGGTGAGCAATCCTCAGAATTCCTCTTTTGGGTTGTAGGATGGGGGAAAAAAATCAAAACCTGGAATTGGATTTAAGCATCTTTGCAAGTCTGGATGATGATGAAAGCAGCAGTTTATTAAAATTTCCTGCCAATTTTAATAAACTCTTATTTAAAAGTTGCGTTTATATATCCGTCTTAAGTCTGGATCTCTATGAAATTTTAACATAGAAATGTTTAGTAACTCTGTTGGTTGTGCATTTGGATGGAGAGAACAAACTGGAATGTGCCTACTACTCTGTCTGCGTAGGGAGTTCACCATGGCTGAGATCGAGCACTTTGTGGACCCAAATGAGAAAGTCCATCCTAAATTCTCCAGTGTGGCAGACCTGGACCTCATGTTATACTCATCCAAAGCCCAAACAAGCGGCCAGTCAGCCCATATCATGAAGCTGGGAGACGCTGTGGAACAAGTAAATATCTGTGATTCTTGCCCAGCTGTGGAAACGTGATATTAGTTGCAATCTAAAATGGAAACTGATATATTTCTCTGTTTTCTTCAGGGAGTGATTAATAACTCTGTCCTGGGATATTTCATTGGGAGGATCTACCTCTACCTGACGAAAGTCGGTGTTGCCAAAGATAAGCTGCGTTTCCGACAGCACATGGACAACGAGATGGCTCACTACGCCTGTGACTGCTGGGATGCTGAAACCAAGACCTCCTATGTAAGCTCCAATACAGTGCAACCTTCAGATTAATGCAGTTTTTCCTAGTTCTGCTGCTTAAAATATCATTATTTTGTAGGGTTGGATTGAGATCGTGGGCTGTGCTGACCGGTCCTGTTACGATCTGAAGTGTCATGCAAGAGCCACAAAGGTCCCTCTAGTTGCCGAGAAACCTCTGAAAGAGCCTATATCCTTTAAACTACTAGTTTACATAGTACTAGTGTTAGTATTTTTCCTGTTAATTGTATTTGCCTTTAACCTCTCTGCACAAAACCGTTAATGTCGTCCAGTTTGAGCCCAACAAAGGAGCAATTGGGAAAGCTTATAAAAAGGATGCTAAGTTAGCAATGGAATATCTGGCGGTGTGTGACGAATGCTTCATTGCAGAGCAGGAACAGCTGCTGAATGATAATGGGTTAGTGAAATTCTTATGTTGATAGGACTGATAGTTTTCACATAGTGTCAATAATTTATTTCTGCTCTACAGAGAGTTCACAATCGAGACCGAAGGGAAGACCTTTAAACTGACAAAGGACATGGTCGGAGTAAAGAGATTTCAGAAGACATTGCATGGTGAGGTTGACTTTTGAGGAATAAAAAGAATTATTTACCATTCATCAAATGTTGTAACTTGCATTTCCCTTCAACTGCAGTGGAGGAAGTTGTTCCCAGTGTCATTGAGCCCTCCTTTGGGATTGGTAGAATCATGTACACCATCTTTGAACACACATTCCACATCAGAGAAGGCGATGAGCAGAGAACGGTACGTTCAGTTAAGTAACCAGAGTGGGTGAATTGTATACTGCTGTCAAACTACCACAAATATCTAGTTGATGAGCTTTTATTATTCTTATTTTATGCATTTCACTACGCCTTCCAGTGGAGTTAATGGAATGGTTTGCTAAAACATTTAAGTGAGTTTTTGGACTCTTGGAGCAGTTAAATATATTCTTCAACCATGGATTTTTCAATGGCTAATGTTGCATTTATTTTTTTTAAACTTATATTTAAAAAGCATTTTTGCCATGTGTTATTTAAAGTTAGAGCTTTTTCTGTTCTTTGTGTTTACCATATATTTCTTTTTACAGTACTTTAGCTTTCCTGCGACTGTAGCTCCATACAAATGTTCTGTCTTACCTCTGAGCCAAAACCAAGAGTTCATGCCTTTCGTCAAGGAGCTGTGTAAGTGCCTCCCTAATATTAAAAGTTTAACTATTAAAGGGTTGATGTTTTTCAGCATATTTACCCACTGTTCCTATGTTCCTCCACATTAGCCGAGGTCATGACCAAAAACGGCGTGTCACACAAGGTGGACGACTCCTCCGGATCCATCGGGAGGCGCTACGCTAGGACAGACGAGATCGGTGTGGCATTCGGCATCACCATTGACTTTGACACGGTGAACAAGACGCCTCACACGGCCACACTGAGGGACCGTGATTCAATGAGGCAGATCAGGGCTGAGGTACAGCAACCATTCCTGTTTCTTTTTTTTTCTGTCAACTTCAGTTTCAATTGGTTCAGAATACGTTTGGTGTAAAGCTAAAGCACCACTGGATAAGCAGTTAGGGTGGTTAGTTACCACGTTAGGTCATGTGGGTTTATATAGCTTTTTCTCCCATTACAAAGTAGCTCATTTGAAAACTGCTTTTTTGTAATTGCTCAAATTATCTTTGTCAACCATATAATCTACACAGTTCCTACAAAATCATTATAACTTTATCTATTAATGCCTTTCTCCCCCATTCGTCTTCAGGTTGACAAGTTGCCAGTTATTGTTCGCGATTTGGCCAACGGCACCTTGACCTGGGCAGAAGTGGAAAGCGAGTATCCCATCTTTGAAGGACAGGAGACGAGTAAAAAGGACACAATTGAGGAGTAGAGCTCACATTTCCTTCGCTAGCAGCTCCATAAATATTTCAGACTCGACGCAAACGCACCACCAAGAAGAATCCTGCAGTTATCTTGTGATGAGCCACACAGGTGGACCAATCCCACTTCAATCACTAAAATGTGTTTATCTAAGGCAACACCTGCTCAGGACGTCGTCAGTGAACAACTTTGCATCTATTTGACAGTTTGTTCTTTTAAAAGGGAGAAAAATGTAATCAGGGTATCAGTGACTATCAGACTTTCACTGTTGAAGTTTTCAGCCAGAATGGGTCGATATTTAACAAGTTGAAATAAAAGCAGCCGGCACTTCCTGGACACCTGTGGTTTAAAGGTTTTCTGTAAAGTTGTTTAAAAGTTAGGAGTCATAAGTTTTAATGTTTTGCAAATAACTCCCCTCCTCCCCCAACAGAACTGTAAATACAAAATGAATTGAAACCAAGAAGGTCCCAGATTAATAAGAGCCTTTTATAAAATTAGTAGTCATACAAGACATTTACAGATCATCTACAAGGCTTAACATTGAAAATAAGATTTGACTTTAGTAAGATTTATAAAAAGTGGTACATCTAAAAATAAAATATAGGAAAGTCATTCTGTCACACCCTAATCAGTTTAACTCCTGAGCCTCAACTGTCTCAGCAGGATATGGAGCTAAACACCGAATACAAATGAATGCAATGCTTTAGTGTTCATGTCTGTGTGCTGATCGGTCACAGAAAGTCCTAATATGTCAAATTTTGTGGGGAAAAAAGAAAAAAATGAATACTTTTGCAGTACGTAAAACCAAACGTCACTCGTCGGCAGGAGTGACGTCGGCAGGCAAAATCTCACAATTTTTTTCAGAATCTGAGATATGCATATCGAGACTGAAACTCACAATTGCATCAGAATTAAACTGTCTTAAAGCAGAATTGGTAATGAGGAAAATGAAAAACATGCATTTTCATTTAATGCAATAAGTAGACAGTTTTTACAGTGTGCACTGCTTCAGATGATTTTGGTGACCTACAGAAAATCTCTCAAATTGTACACATGCAAGAAATTGAGAAATGCTGAATATCTGTTGCTCAGCTGACAAACCATCACATGGCCTACAGTCTATTACACTGATTTAGAAGTCCTGTCCCTCCCCTGCTGTCAATGGTCAAAGTATAAATACATCATGTCACCTTTAACCAGCGGCAGCTCCCTCTCAGGGAGTCAGAGGGACCCACTCTCCACCCTGCGCTGTGGATGAGCACCACACAAAATTGACATTTCTTCCACTTTCTTTCTCTTCACGTTTTAACTTGACTTTTCATCCATCTGTCCAAACTTAAACTTTGGTGGGAAACCTCTTGGGACTTGCTGCGTTCAAGGTCAGTATCACAACAGGTGCTGAGGACAAAGTGAACTGTGTGACCGCGTGGCATTTGAACAGCAGGCTGTCTCACAAGACAATGTGGGGACTCAACTGGGGTGAGAGTTAACTTGATATTTACGTTTTGTGACGCTGAAAATCAAAACTGAAAGTCCAGGTTAAAACAAAGCGTTATAAGCTTACTGTGTCATTTTGTCCAGCATATATTGCTACTGGAGTGCATGAATAAACTGGAGTTGTCTGGTTAAAAATAGCAGACAGCTGCACTTTGTTGACACATTGCACTCTCCTTATTGTATTCAGTCCATGTTATGCTCATGCTACTTTTAGAAAAAAAAATATCAATGCATTTCCTGCATCTCTATAGCACATAATAAAATCCCTGCTGTTAATTTATGAGTAATTTCAAAGCCTACATTTTTTATTTATTACATATTTATGCTAATGTTGGCTTGAAGCTCACTAAATCCAAAACTTACTCTGTAGAAGTTACTCTATTAAAGTAGCTTCTATCAAGTTACTTTATTAGAAGCCTTCAGATCACCTGCATTGTTGGGTCTGATTTCCCTCATCTTCCTGGATTCTTTGTCTGCGCAATTGCCAATTTCTGCAGGGAAAATGACACCAACATCTTCCCAAAGTCTGTCACTAAAGAGGAAGCACAAACATGTTCTGACTTTTGTCTTGAGAAAGCGCATTAAAACAGGGATCTTCGAACCGAGGCCTCGTGTCTTCTGCCACCTTTAGAAGCGGCTCTGCTTCGAAACACCCGAGTTTAATAACGAGGTCGTCAGAACCTTAAAATTTATTTTTAATTTCTTCTAGACCAAGAGCCGTTCCTTTGTTTCTCTTAAATTCTTGAATTTCTCTTCAATCGGGGAATTATACAGTGTTTTTTTGAGCTTTTCTGCCTACTTCATTCTGTCAGACAGGTTCCTTTCAGGTTATTATGATTTTAAAAGTCTGGCAATAATTCGACCCGGATGTGGTTAGTGAAGTCTAACAAAAAAACACTGTGAAGTCATGATTAACTAGTGGTGCGATTATATTTCCACATGGGGCCATTTCGATTTGGATGGCCTTTTCCTTCTTTAATGGATAAAATTAACATTAGAAAACTGCTTTTGTAAATTTTCTCAGGTAATCTTTCTCTACCGTAGAAATGTGTTGACCTGAAACATTTAGATCTGATGTACAAGCTTGAAAGCAGAAGAAATTGTTAAAAGCCCTGTAGTGATTGGTAGTCATGTCCTTTATTTTTCAGTTTTGGCAGCTGGGGGGAAACCCTGTGGATCAATGCATATTGTTAATTGAGATAATGTTTAGCTAAATATGTAACACACTACATTGAATATGAGTTTTTTTTCTCATTAGCCTCCAAAACTCATTGTCATCATGGGGATCAAAGCTGCACTTCCTAAGTATGAGATCTACTTTTACAACACCGTGCTGTGTCTGGCCATGTTCTGGGCAGCCAGCTGGATCTTTGAAGTGTCGAGCTGTAAGTACGCTGATGGGCTCTTATAACCCAACAGAAGACAGGATAGAATGAGAAGAATACCCTACGCTGACACACACAGTGGTTACAAGTGTTAAAGTTGTGCATGTGGTCATTTAGTTTCACAAAAATGTAAAAACTCACCAGCATATTATTGATGTTTGCTGGCACATATTCATTTAATATTTCATGTTAGTTTCTCAGTGTGACACAAAGGAGTCAGAGCTTCGCTGAGCATACTCAGTAGATCGGGTGTCACTATTAATATCACAGAGGACAAAAAGAAAACTGTTCCATGTTGAACCCTTTGTTTAAGTCTCATAAGAACAGATGTACATTCAGAACAACTGAAACATATATTTGCCATAATAAACCAAGTTCTGTGACATTAAATTTGCAATTACTCATTATTTTTGTCGCTAACATATTTTATTCTCACTTCCATCCTGCTGTCATGTTTTTCAGCCAATGTAAACAGAAAGACATTTAAAGCCAGTGTGAAACCAGGATACTTTGGGAGAAAAATGGTAAGTGATGATATTTAACATCATTGGAATATTATTAATTATTTGCGTTCGTTATCCACAGGACACTGCAGATTTTGAGTGGATGATGTGGTTTTCCACCTTCAGAGAGCACATCCTGTTCGCCCTCTCTGGTCACGTGCTCTTTGCCAAGATCTGCTCCATGCTGGCTCCTCAGGTTGCTTAAACTTTACCATAAATCATATTTGATTTTTTTAGATCATTCTTAATCAGTTAGCAGCTGCAGATCACAACTGTATGAACACTAAGAGGATAGGAAAACAGATTGATGTGTTGACGTTAATTAGTTAATCTCAACCTGTATTTGATGAGTTTTAAATAAGAAAAAGAAGCAGACAGCAGACTTAAAATTGACTCCTTTTCAGTGCAAATTAGTCTTTCTGTGTAATATGTCTCTTACAGTTCAGGTCCTTGGTTTACATGGTGTATGGTCTGCTGGCGGTATGGACCAGCATGGGTTGGACCTATGTCTCCCTCATGCTGTCCCACTGCATCCTGCTCTACAGCATCTCCTTAGTGAAAATCCGCTGGCTCTGCCTCGTCGCTGGTCTCTGCACCCTCGCCACGTTCAAGTGTGAACCTTTCGTGTCCTGGCAGGTGAAACAGCTGGCAAACTTTGAGTCCCTCATTTAACTATCGGTGTGCAGAATCACTGTACGTTTTCCGCACAGGCAGGTTTTGTGGAAGGAGACTTTGAGCTGCGGCATGTCCTCTTCTATGGAGGCTGTGGGTTCACGATCATGCGCTGCGTGAGTTTTGCTTTGGAAAACTGTGAACGGAAAGATGGGAACTACAACGTCCTAGAGCTGCTCAAGTACAACTTTTACCTCCCTTTCTTCTACTTTGGACCCATCATGACATTTGACAAATTTTACGTGCAAGTGAGTTTCTTTTAAGTGACCACAGTCATTCAATTCTTTAAGGGTTTCAGGATTTCCTATTTTGTGCACTAGATGGCACTGGTTTCTTTTATTGTGTGTGTTCAGGTTGCATATTAATATTTATGTTCATGGTGAATATTATATATTGTATTTTCAGACTTTTACAGTGCCCTTCAAAAAAAATTGCAAAGTTATCACTTCCTTATGTTTTAAAATAAAAATCCGAGTTTGACAAGCTTGACATGCATTAGTATTCATCACTTACACAACTAATATCCACTGCATCCATCTACCTTCAGGAGTCAGAATCATCTAGCTCCGTGGTCCCACACTCTGGTCCACACTGTCCTACAGGTTTTTGATGTTTCGCTGCTCCTTCGCATGCCTGCAACTGCTGCTGAAATCTGTTAATCGTCTATTTATTTCAGTTGGTTGTGCAGCAGCAGGGAAATACCTAAAACATGCAGGACAGTGGGGTCTGGGGACCATGGTTCAGGACTTCTGATTTACAGTATTGTAATATCTTTTCTGCTCTCTGCAGGCTAATAAGTCTGACCTGACCAGAAAAGAAAGGGAAATGTGGAACATCAGCCTGCAGGGTTTGATCCATTTGGGAGTCATTATCGTAGTGGATGTCCTCTTCCACTTCATGTACATCCTCACCATCCCCACTGACATAAAGCTCCTGAAACACCTCTCTGACTGGGCTTTGGGTATGTGCCACAGCATTTGTGTGATTGTTAAAGTTTTATCTAGTATCATGGAAGGAAGACATTTTTTCTGCTTGCCCAAAAACGCAACAAAACTAATAAACCTGCATGTTTTCAGTGGGTCTGGCTTACCTCAACCTTGTCTACGATTGGATAAAAGCAGCTGTCATGTTCGGAGTCATCAACACAGTGTCCAGACTGGATCACCTGGACCCACCAAAACCACCGAAATGCATCACTATGCTCTATGTGTTTTCTGAAACGTAAGTTCTGCATACACACCTCGCCTTCTTGTGGTTAAAACTGAAAACCGGATGACATAAAACAATTTTTTTTCTATTTTGTAGGCATTTTGACAGAGGAATTAATGACTGGTTGTGCAAGTAAGATTTCTTGAATATTCATTATATTAGTCCAGCTGGATGCAGGAGGTTCAGATGGTTTTTGTGTCCTCAGGTATGTTTATAATTACCTGGGCGGAAAGCATGAGAATGTGGTGGAGGAGCTGGTGGCGACGCTTTGCACCTATGGAGTCACCATCCTCTGGTTGGGCCCCTGCGACGTCGTCCTGTTCTGGGCTTTCTTCAACTGTTTTGGTCTCAACTTTGAGCTGTGGACCGCTAAGGTCTTCTCCATGGAACCATTTGCATCCTTTGAGGTGAGTTATTGCAGTTTTATTCTTTATGTTTATTTCTTTGTTTTTAGATATGAAAGTGTTGTTTTTTTTGTTGTTTGTTTTGACAGGCTGCTATGTCAGAAGCAATGTCCCGCCGCATAAGAGCCATTTTCAACACGTTCAATTTTTGGTGCATTGTGCTGTACAACCTTATGGCTCTGAACAGTTTGGATTTTGTCAAGTTGGTCACCAAGCGACTGCTTCTGAAAGGTGATTTCAGTTTTACTTGTTTACAAATGGGTAAAAAGGCATAAAACTACAAAATGGCAAAGGATCAAATTGACCAGCACTTTCTGACATCTTGCTCTTTGATAGCAGTCTGAATAAACGGCTAATAAGCCTCCAAAGAATTAAAATATTCCTTTTAAAAAACTCCCTAAATCTGTGTTTCCTCTGACTTTACTTTCAAACACTTGACTCCAAAACTTGAGTTTTTATATGGTTTTGAATTTATAACTTCTCCATTCTCCAGGTTTCCCTGTAACTACCGTCCTTGTCATGTTTGTGACCTACTGTCTAATTCAAGTTATCAAGGAGCAAGAGAGAAGACAGGCCCTCATCGATGACCCTGATCCACTTCCTCCTGCCCCCCCTCTTAATGCTGCCACCGCCACCTGTCCTCCCACTGCTGCTCCACAGGCAGTGGCTGATTCCAGCAAAGAAAAAGCGGAGTAGAAATTTGGCATTCAGCTCCAAGGTTCAGAGACTAACAGAGCATCTCGTCGCGAATATTGAAAGCTTCATTATGTCCTAATTAGCTTTTGTAAAATGAATTTTTAATGATTCTAGGAAGTCACGGGCTGTAAATAAGATTGAGTATTTATATGGAAGGAGTTATTAATAGTTAGTGGAAAACATTAAGTCATATATATTGTAACATATTGTACAGTCCTGGAGTTATAAAAATGTACTAAGAAAGCACCGACTTCCCTGACACTCATAATTACTACTTTACTGTATGAAAAAAGTGGCATGTGACTATATATCTACATGAAAAGATTTTTCTTGTAATGAGTACCAGTTAATAAAACTTTTTAATCCCACATGAATCTTATACATAAACCCTTGATGGAAACAAACCAGTGACACCTGATGCTTTTGCTGGCCTTTAAAAAGTTGTTTCTTTAATAACAAAAAAGGATTTCTTTGTAAGAGGTTGTGTTTTTCAGCATATGCTTATGACATTCCCACCATCTTTTTCTAGAATTCTCTAAAGGCTGAAGTGATTTTTTACAAACAACCCTCACTTCTACTCAGGAAATCGCTTTGACTTTGCGAAACCTTGTCAGTAAGGAAACCATCCAGAGCCAGAGCTACAATCAGAGAAACGGTCTGGCAGAGGTAAAGCGTTTTGTTACCACTACCAACAGGCAAAGCGAGTGAAGTGTCTTGTCCAAAGACACAGAGACGGACAAAGAGTGGGCTCAAACCAGCATCACCTGGTTATGGGATGAACAGGTATATCGCCATCGCCACCAACGTCCATAGAAATGGCTAAATGAAACACACACATGGGTAAAGACTATTAATGAGACTGGGACAGGGGTTCTGGGCTTCTATAGAACATAAACTAAAAATGGGCTGGCGGTTAAAAAATAGCACTTGATGTTCAAAAGGTTCTACAATAAACACAAAACCTAAGTGGATGAATAATTTTTTTGAGGTGATAACAGATGGCATGAGCTGCTTCTCAGAACAACGTAGACTCTTCCCATGACTCCAGAAAATAAACTTTATTCTCACAAGTCTCGCCAGAATTTTAGGGAAGAGAGGATTGAGATGAACTGATGATCTCTTCCACCAATTCATACCAGTCATTCTGGTACAAGCAGTACCAGACAGGCTGGTACTGCTTGTGCAAACCTTTTGGGACCGTATAAAATCTGGGGTTGTTTCAGTTGTTCAGGTCCAGTTTCAGCATCATTAAAGGTGACCTGAATAAAGTCTGACATACAGAACATTTTGTTTGCTGGACTCATTTTACAATATTTAATTTGTCAAGAGATCAGCTTTGGACTGAAGACGTCAAGAGTTCTGAATTTGGATGCAGCTGTAGAAGGTACCTATCCTTCCCTTAAATTGTTACTCTTGGCAACTTAAATCTAGCCTTAAATTTCAACCACAGTTGAGATAGTTGGGATAAGATTCAAACTCAATGACGACATGGCTAGGTTGAATTGGTCACAGAGGCCTCATGAAGTATCACAGTTTGCTATATTGGAAATGCTTCCAGTGAGATATGGCTCAGCTGTTTGAGAGTGGGCGGATTATCCAGGGGAGCGGGTGAGTGGGAGGTAAGAAAGCCGGACAGAGAGAGGGTTATTGCATTTCCAGCAATGTTCCAGAATAAAGCCCCCATAGCTCTAAAGCAAGCAAGCACTCTAAAAATAGCCCTCCAGTTGGAGCTTAGTTGAAGGGTCATGACAGCTGAGAAAGCAGGCCGTCCCAGGATTCAGCCGGTGAGAAGGATCGCTGTTCGTCTAAAGCCACTCTAGACTGGAAAGCCAAATTCCCTGCAATAAAGAGGATCCGATTCTACTTTATCTGTGTCATCTTAAAGACTTCTCAAATGGCGGTGCCTATAAATCCCATGGATGAGCCCAGGTTGTACCAGCAGACTCTCCTCCAGGATGGCCTGTATGATTTGCTGGAGAACGACAAGCTGGTGGACTGCGTCCTGAAGATCAAAGACAAGGAGTTCCCTTGTCATCGCCTGGTGCTGTGTGCCTGCAGCTCATACTTCCGGTCCATCTTTTTGTCTGACCTGGATGAAAGCAAAAAGAGAGAAATCGTGCTGGAGGACGTTGAGCCCGGTGTCATCGGTCTGATCCTCAAGTACCTGTACACCTCCAAGATCAATGTCACAGAGCAGAACGTCCAGGACATCTTTGCCGTTGCCAACATGTACCAGATTCCTTCAATTTTCACTGTTTGCGTGTCTTTCTTACAAAAGCGCCTCAGCCTCAGCAACTGCCTGGCTATCTTCAGGCTCGGTTTGATGCTGGACTGCCCCAGGCTGGCTGTCTCTGCGCGGAACTATGCCTGCGAGCGTTTCCAGCTCATCTCCAAAGACGAAGACTTCCTCCAGCTCAACGCGACCGAGGTGGCAGCCCTTTTGACGAATGACAATTTGAACGTGGAGACGGAGGAGGTTGTTTTCGAAGCTCTGATGCGGTGGGTGTGCCGGGACACCGAGAACAGAGAGAAAGAACTCCCAGATTTGCTGGACTGTGTTCGTTTGCGTCTTGTCACAGATGATTACCTGAAAGAAAAGGTGGAGAAACACCAACTCATCTCTGCTAATCCAGAGCTTCAGCTGAAGATGAAGCTGGTCAAGGACGCTCGAGCAGGGAAAATGCCAGAGATTAAAAAAAGCAAAAAGGAAGAGGGAGGGGCAGCGAAAGATGGAGAAACTGAAGACAATGAGGATGAAGAAAATCTTTTACCGGCTATTCTAAATGATAACCTGCGATTTGGGATGTTTGTCAAGGACCTCATACTGATGGTGAACGACACCGGTGCCGTGGGGTACGACCCGTCAGGCAACGACTGCTTCATGGCGTCGGTTTCCACGCAGGTTCCCAAGAACCATGTCAGCCTGGTCACAAAGGAGAACCAGATCTTTGTGATTGGAGGATTATTTGTCGATGAAGAGAACAAGGAGGACCCTCTATGCTCCTACTTCCTGCAGGTATGAAAGCTGTTCTAAAAATATGAGACATTACAAAGCTACTAAATATGTAACATCTGGAATCTGATTAATTTAAGAACAAAAAAAAAACAAAACTTTTTTTGCTGTTACAAAAACATTTGACATCTTACCGTTAAATGATGCTATCATAAAATTATGGAGGTTTAGCATGGAGTTGAGACCATACATCAAAATACACGATATAAAAAGACACAGTCAGAGATTAGTTAGGATTGCGAAAGTTATTTCAATTCTTTGGGAAAACAAAGTTTTATTACTTCAAATTCAGAGGTTTATATAAAATAAAAGACATGCTGAAGACAATCTTGTTTACAGTTCACACCTTTAGCAGCTCCTGGTCAAATCACTTTTGTATCTGCCCCTTATTTATTTCCATTTTGTACCAGCAAACAAATTCTTTCACTCCCATCCATTTAAATCATTAGTACACTGTCCTTTGCAGATAAGTACTTTCATGAGTTATGAAAATAAACATCTATAAAAATCCCCCAATCCCATGTATGATTTAAGATTTTTATTTTCTAAGAATTTTGTATTAAATCCAATTTTTATTTTATTTCTGATGTCTGTTTGAGGAATAAGACTCGTGAAATATGAAAAACTCTGAGTCCACATGAAACCGGACAAACTGACCGAGGTCCTGATCGTGGATGTTATTTATTAAGAGTAGAAAAAGTTGAGTACAAAGTGATCAAAAGGAAAGGAAATGTACAAGCCTCTATACCTTTAACTGCCGAGCCAATTTGTAAATATTTCTGTGACTGCAGTATGATCCTGTTAGTACCGACTGGCTCGGGATGCCTCCCCTCCCGACTCCGAGGTTCTTGTTTGGGATGGCTGAAGGTGAGAACTCCATCTTCGTTCTGGGAGGGAAGGAACTGAAAGACAAGGAGGGCACACTGGATACAGTTTTGGTCTATGACAGGCAGTAAGTTACAATTAAAATAATTTCTTGCTGTGATTTTTCAAAACAACCCGTTTTCACTTGCTTCTGTGATTGGTTATTCGCAGATCATTCAAATGGGGCGAGTCCGAGTCAATTCCTTACCCAGTTTATGGACATTCAGCCGTATCACACAAAGATGTTGTGTATGTGATAGGAGGAAAGGGAGACGACAAGTGAGTATATGTTGCGATCGGCATGTTACAATCACACCATATGAAAGTAACACAGAAAGCCCTAAAAGTTACTGTGCCGTTTTATGCTAAAAAAAGGAACTGCCTGAAGAAGATGTGTTCATATGATGTCAAGAGGTTTGAATGGAAAGAGCTTGCTCCAATGAAGACGGCACGCTCTTTATTCGGGGCCACTCTTCATCAAGACAAAATATATGTGGCAGGAGGCGTGACCGACGACGGCATGACAGACACCGTGGAGGTGTACGACATCGCTGCCAACACGTGAGTTCTGCACCGATTCCAAAATCCAACTGAGAAACGGCTGGAGAACCTTTAATATTTTTAATAATGATAAAAATATTAAAACTGTTGACAGCTGCTGCTGCCATGGGTGGCAGTACTGACGATTAGCTATAGGGACCAATTACATGATGGCCAGATTGGTTTGGAGAACTCCTTCCTCCTTGATGCAGTCATTATTTGAAACCTGTTTTTTTAAATTATTTCTTCAGGTTGCAATTCAAATGTTTAAAATAGGGCACTGGTTCATTTTCAGCAGACTAATAATTTTGAGAACTTCAGGTCTATTTCTCTTTACAATATATAAAATATCTTTTTATCAAATATGTTTAATTAAATTTTGCTTACAGATAACAAATAAGACAAAATTACTAATAATTATGAATGCATGTTGGTTTAGCAGGGTCCTTATGGTAAATGGCCTACACTTGCACAGTTATCAAGTCTGAGGACTCTAAATGATTTACACTACAATCTGTTATTTATCCATTCACACATTCACTCATTCATCCAGAGAAAAAAAAGAACCAAACATTTTATCAATGGCTTGAAATTAGTTGCAAGATATTCTGTATCAGAACTTTTAGCAGTTTCAATGTTTTAATATGTACCACCTTAAGTACATATTTCTGTCTGAAATGTGGCAGATATGATTCAATTTAAACTGACTATTTTCACCAAAACACAGTCTAAGTCAATTTGACCTTAACCATTTTCATCACAGCTGTTTTTCTTTCTAAAACAGCCATTTTAACTGTGAGTTTATTTATGTATGCCTGTCATTTTCATTTGGTCAGGTGGTCAGATTTCGAGCCATTTCCTCAGGAGCGAAGCTCTCCAAGTCTTGTATCTTTGGCTGGTTCTCTCTACGCTGTAGGAGGTTTTGCCATGATGCCTTTAGAAGACAGTGATGAAATCCTTCCCAAAGAGATGAATGACGTTTGGAGGTACAACTTTTCTCAATATATAATCCCTAAATTATTCTGTCCTGCAAAAATAGTTGAAAACTGCCTTTAAATTAAATCTGGAAACTGAGAAGAGCTCAGTATCAGAAGTATGGTTCTCTGTTTAGCCACAAAAAAAGAAGCAATCAAAGATGTCACTCAACCCAACATGACTCTTCTATAAAACCTTCGCAGGTATAATGAGACGGAGAGGAAGTGGAACGGGATTCTCCGAGAAATTCAGTTTGCCTCTGGGGCCACGGTACTGGGGGTCCGCTTGAACACGCTGCGTCTCACCAAGATGTGAAGCTCTCCACACTTCCTGTATCTCAATGAAAATTGACTTGGAAATAATTGCACCATTTTTACACTTTTCTGGGACACATTCATTATCAAAGACATTAGTATTTAATGAAATATTGCAAGAAATATGCTCATTTGATTTTCACACAGGGTCAGGGCTTTTCTAATTAGCATTGTGTTATAATATTTTTTTTCTGCAATGAAATTTTTATATGTGTTTCTGCAAGTGATGGATGATTATTTGAACATTTATATCATCAGAATCTACATTGTTTCACTGAACTGAATAAAAATGATAAAACCAAGCTAAAGCCTTTCTTGACACATATGTCTACTGCCCAATAGAGGGCAGCAAAGTCAAAATCCCTGCTTCTTTCAACAAGCAATAAAACACAATGCACAAACAGAAGAGTATGCATAGAAACAAACACAAGACATGCAGATAATATCTATATTGTTTAATATTGAAATGATTTCATAATGCTCTACTGTGTTACAGACAGTTAACACTTGTCAATATTACAATAAAAGGAACAAAAAAATACACCCTACCGTTTTAGCACCTCTAGACTCTAATGTCCTTGTACTGTTTTTGTGTTATTATAGCTGAATGGGACAACTATTGTCTACACATGGGTTGTGAATACCAGAATCACCCAATACATATTGTACTGTTAACATTATAGAGCAGAGAATTGGCAATTAATAATACATTTCATGATTTCTCAATGCTGTGGTAGCAATAAGTGCCGGAAATACACTTGAAGGTATATATAGATTTAAATATGGAGGCATTGGCTGAGGGGCAATGTGGGGTTTGGATGAGATATACAATCTTAAATCAAAGGTTCTCATGTTAAAAAAAACAAAACAAAACAAAAAAATAAAATAAAATAAAATTGTAGTTGTCAAAGGAGCTCCAAAGCTGACAAAACTAAATATCTTCTCTCTTTTTGAACATGATCCCCGAAATCATGCTGCTATGCATTTTGATGTTGGTCAGGCCCATTAAAAAGTATGAAAGTGACTCATTTTGTCCTGGGTAGTTAATGACGAAACATGAAAGTATAAAAAGCTATTAAAATATTACAATTACTGTCTAGCTGTATCCTGGACTGCTGCAGTGCTAACATTACCATTGCTGGCAATATCTCAGCTAACAAGCTAATGAACAAAATTAGCATTTACCACTGCTGACATTCAGGAGTGTTTAGCAAGATTTAAGTGCACAATCACATTAAAACTAAGGCTTTGATTTTATTATTTTGCTATTTACCAAATTTTAGGGGTTTTTTTCTACCAATCACCAATAAATTCTAACAAAAATTACATGTGTTATTAGCAAATTTGGATAGTGATTCTAAACGATGTGAAATCAAATTTATTCGCATACTTTTTCCCTTTTAATCTACATCATCATGTAGTATAAGGGTAATTTTAATATGTGTAATTTTGCCTCTTAACTGATTTAATTCTAAACATATTTTATTATAATAGAAGTCATTCTTCTACTATAATTGAATAGTATAATTTTAATTATAATACAAGACTAATTCCTATATTATACATAACAGTAAATATTATAGGTTAAGACAGATAAAAAGGTTTTCAAGCAAACATACAAATTAAGTTTGTCTGATCTCTTTCTTAATTTAATAGCCCTCTCAGTTTAGTCAGTTTTGAGGCTCCAACTATTTAAACAAATATGGAGGAAATAGTCATTTAAAATATAACAAAAATGTGCATAAACACAGAAAAAAAAAGACAAACAGACCACAATATACCACAAAATTCTTTCATACAATACTTTTTCTTCAACATCCAACAAGAGTTTTCGTAACAACTTTAGATGTGGCCCTTTTCCAAGCAATAGAGGAAAGGCCACAACATCAAAATACTTTTTGGACACATTATTTCAGCAGCTGACCCAGGCACTGATCATTCCCCCCTTTTTTTGCTTGGTAGTTTTGTTTGTTCAGACCCATTTTTCTGAGTTACATGTTTTCTCTGCCATGAGATGCATCATACGAACCATGTGTATTTATATCCTCTGGGGTGATATTTTGTTCCTGTACTGACTTTGGTAACATTTTCTTAAATCTTCCTACGGTCTAATGTAAGAAGAAGATATTTTATGACTTTACTAAGAAAAATATTCATCATTAAGAGGTAAATCATAATTAGTTTGGTCTTTATTTTCCATATTTTATTGGCATTATCTTGACTAACTGCAGGTCAGAATCAAATTCAGTAAAATGGAATATAAAACAAAATGTTATGAAAGTATGCTGTGAAATATTTTTGACTAATTACCTCCACAATTTTTTAAAATACCCATAGAAGTAAACAAAGATGTAAAAGTGAATAAGTACAAAATATATATATATATTTTTTCAAGCAGAAAACAGGAAACCATACAAAATGGAGGAACAAATCAGCGGAAGGGGAAAATGACCCAGATCTGCAAAATCCAAAACATAGCAAAACCCCATTTCATGGGTGGTTTTAATACAAAACAAGACAAACTCCCTCCAAAAAACACATTCAAGATGTGCTTCCTTCTCTCTTCAACTCAGCATTCACCTCAAAATAAATGGCAGCAAAAATTCTCAGTTCTGACGAAGGATGCAACAGTTGCATAATTTCCGAAACATTTTTTGGCATTTGTGTTTTACTTTTAATGTTCTTGTGAGAAAAATGTCAAAAGTAAACTGTCAACACACAAAGTTCAATGATGCATTTATGTCACAGGTTGTTTTGAACTAATGTTGAACCACTAAAAGAACAGACAGTAAAAGAACAAGAAGTATTTGTTTGATTTATTTTCCATAGTTGATGGATCTAGGAAAGGGGTCTCCAACCCAAGTCATTGAGATCGACCATCTGGTGTTGTTTAGATGCAACCCTGCTAAAACACCTAAATCGAATTCTTACATTACCTCTTTAGAAAGTCATCACGTTTAGCAGTGACCTGGTAATGAGCCATTCATTTGATCCTGGTGTTGCATCTAAAACCAGCAGAATAGCAGATCTCTAGGATAATATAGAACCAGCAAAACAGGTCTTCCTCACTTTTTTTACATTGTGGATTAATACAGAGAGCATCCAAACTATGAAGGAAAAATTGTGTAGTGAACAAAGTGTTTTCTATTTTAGATTTTGAAGAGCAGTTTGAACACATTTGATGTTTTCTTAATCAGCTTCCTGAGGTACCTGGGATGATTTTGGACCAACTAGCAATGGTCCAACTAAACAGAAACCAGATGTGATGGACCAGATTTATTCTAATAAATCTGGCTAAGTGTGCTTTTGGATTTTAAACAAATTACCGGCAATATCACCAGTAAAGCACCCCAACCATCACAGTATCTCCTCCACCACAATGACTTACAATGTGAACCATGCATTTTGAAGTCAACCCTTGGATAAAGGCAACTATTTCTCTTCCATTCCTCACAGGGATTCCTTTTCATCAGCGTTTGATGGTCTTTGGAACAATACTTGACATTTTTCAGTTTTTCAGACATTCAACAATGGACAATACTTTATTTTTACGTAGTTGAGTGATTTTTGATGTAGTGGATTAAAAGCAGTGCAGGAGAAATTGCAGTGTGCAAAAGGCGGAAGGTGACAACTTTGAAAAAAAAAAATCTCAAATATGAAACATATTTCGTTTTCCTTCATACTTTGGATATCTTCAGCATAAGTTACAAGTAGAGAATAAGGAACAGATAGAATTGCGTAAATGATTACTTCAATTTTTTCTTCCCTAAATGTGCTCAGGGTCGAGTAGCTTCTTAAATTAACAAGAAAAAAAACAACCAACAAATGTTGTCGTCTACAGCAATAAGATTTTCTCACTCTGTCCTGGACGAAATTAAAAAATATATATAGAAGACATTTTAGCCGTTCTCCACAGTTTTCCCATCACATTTTCTAACTAGGCCATAAAACTGCTGTCACATTATATCATTCACTTGCAACATGAAAGATAGAAGGCAGTTTGATGGATTTATAGTATTTTAAGAGGTTTTTTTATTACTCTGATCTCATTTCATGACTCCATTCCAAGTTAAGTATTGTGGGATGTACTTCAAGACCAGTTTTGTTAAAATTCAGTGTCTAAGGAACCTGCCAAGGACACATTTAATTCAAGAACAATTTTTCTTATTTCCTATAATTTTTTTGGTACTCAGACACGCATGTGTGCGCACACACTGTATCAGCTTTTTTATGTGGAATAAGTGCTACTATGTCAATTTTAAAACTCTACGGCGCTGAAGAAGAAAATAAAGTGCTGTTAGAATTAATATAATTCCCATTACTCAATTAGGTAACTTACATAAAAATAAACTCATGTTTAGGCCTTTTCATCTTAAGGTAAATTGCATCAGGTTATTTTTCATTGATAATAAAAATAAACTAACCAATCGTGAACTCTTATTTTTAACCTTGTTGGATGGCAACATCACAAATAACAAACTAGGCTTAAGCTTGTCTGAAACAGTCCAACAAGTAACATACAATTTTCTATAATTTTTGAGGCTTTGATACTCATGTGTCAATTTATCCCTTGTGCATTTAGAAATCAAAATTATCTACGCTTAAAAAAAAAAAAAACTGCAAAGGATGTATGTTTTTCCATCGTTACAAATTTCTGCAACTTGTTTTCACCCTGCGTCTGCATACATGCTCCCTTTGTTGGCAAGTGTGGCAAAGGAATTCAAAGTGCATAAATCAGTAGTGTTCATCACAATTTATCTGTCAGCTATAGCTACTATGCTTAACACAAAAAACATGGAAATCCCACCATTTGTAAGGCAAATACACAAAGAGCATCTCAGTAATATCTCTTGCGAGAGAGATGAGAACAAGAGCGTGTTCTCAGTTTTCAGAAGATCTTAGTAAAATCTGCAGACAGATTGTAATGTAATAAACAGCAACAACAGAGAACCAGTATTTAACAGTCAGAGGCCACAAAATGCTGCTCCGCAATCGTATAAACTCCAAATATTTTTCACATTTTGTCATGTTACCACCAAAACCTTTAATACCTTTACTTTTATGTCATAGTGCAGTGTGTGTATTTGCAATCTGACGCCTTTATTCTCAAACCTCCTGATAGAATCCAATTCAACCGATTGTACCTTAATATAAATAAGGCTTTTCTGTGATTAAAGTATTAATCAGAGAAGATTCCTCAGTTTGAGGAATCTACTGACAGTACTAGTCCTGCATTTCACTAGTCTGATAAGAAAAAAAAAACATTGTTGAAAGAAAGCCATAAACAGTTTGCAACTTGTCACATGCAATGAAAGCAGTGAACATGAAACAACAAGTCAGTTGTTACTGAATTTGAACTTTTTGGCTTCCATGTCGATCTGTTACCAAAGTAAAATCCTACTTAAATGCAAAAGTTGTGGTTGTAACATGACAAAATAAATATAGGCCCATGCACTATGGACACTTACACAAGACACAGTACATATTAAGATGTATAGCTTTAAATAACTTTAAAGCTTATGCAATTCATTTTCTACTGAATGCTTGGTAGTCGAGATAAATATTGTAAGAGACATAGTTTTAAGGAAAAAAAAGAAATATTTTTTTATAATTCTAATTATCTTCAAAGACAGGAAATTTCATTTAAACGTTTGAAGTTTAAATGGTTTGTTTTGCTTTTTTTTGTGTGTGCAAAATTCAAGCTAATTGTCCACTAAGGTTGAACTGGATCTTATTACAGCCAGAATATAATTGAGTTAAATTACAAAATGGAAGCTCTAATTTTAAAGTGGCAATCTTAGACTAGACCCTGTACAAAATAAATCAAAATGCAAAAATCAAAAAAAAAAAAAAAAAAAAAACAGAACAGATGAGTATGTAGGAAGATTTTTAAAAAGTACCATTATTTATGTTCCTGTGTTGGCTTATGAAAGACACAAATCTTGGGCTGATGTGATATTTTACCAAAAGGAGACAGTTTTGTTTCTGAATTTTAAAAAAACAACAACAAAAACAGGCAGAAATTATTCAAAAAAATTGTCTTTCCGTCGTACCAACCTAAAAACACATTCAGCTTCCTCTGTGCAAACACAAAAAAAGAAAAACCATGTACATCCACATCTGAACAGTACATAGAGGGGGAAGCAACACTAAGACTACAGTATATAGATAAAGTGAGTAGGAGAGCATTAACTGAACTCAGACACTTGCCAATTAAGACACTGAAATTTTATGGGGTTAATTCTTATTCCACTTAACGCTTTCAGTCTTAAGATTTGCTCAATACGACTCAAACCTGCTAACTAAAGCAATTGGAAAGTTCACACAAAGGTGAAAATTGGCTAAGCGCCATGTAGCCTCCCCTTTATGTAGCTACAGACAAGATTGCATTTTATTGATGTAGGAGGAGCTGGTATTGTAGACGGGAAAAAAAAGAAGAAAAAACACTCTGGTTTTGTTTGTCTAAGCATCTGATATTGGAGCATGCATGATTTGATCTCTGATCCAAGCCGCGATGGATTTTTTTTGGACGTGTTGAAACATTTCTGGGCTCAAGTGTCACAACTCTGAAAGTCCATATGTTAATATTGCACATACGCAAAATTGCTGCACTTACACAATTATGTAGCAACTATCTGACATTAACTTCTATCGATCTCATGCTGTTATTCTGACATTCTATACAAACTCATAAGATTCGAGCACGTTAGCGTTCTGAACGATTGAAGTGGCTTCATAAAATTTTACTATTTTTAAATTAATCCTCTTTATAGATATATTTAATAACTTGGACAACCTCGGGCTATGTTTAGAACTTTCAACTCATCCTGAGCTGGACAACTGATTCTTCAGGGGATTAAAACAAAAATAACAACAAAAAACCCTGATAGGGTGACATCACAGCAAAAGTAACATACGCTATTCTGACGCAGAGAACAGTGAAATCCACACCTTTGATCCTAAAACACATGCATTGTTCAGAACAAGAGCGCAACAACTGCGCACAAACTTCACAGGCATGACAAAACTTGATGATCCACCCCAAGCCTTTCATTTTATCACATTTAGACCTACATAAACACATTTTATGATACCCCAAAATATATAGTAAGATAGTAAGTACACAGTCGTTCGTCAACACTAAAGTAATGTAGTTGTTGTTTTGTGCATAATTCATTTTATGAACAAATTTGTTTTTGGAATGGAAAATCTGGGTTCAGAAACTACAGAAATAAACCTTTGCAGAAATCAGAAGAGCTTTTCCAAAACTTTACTGCTTGTAAAAATAAATCTCCAAATCAAGAGGCTGAGCTAGAGTTTTTTTCTGCACTGAAAAAGATCAGGCAATATTTCTGTTTTTAATGGATTCCTTCAATATATCATAAGATGAGACATTTTAGCATTCAACTAGCATGGTGCAGGAGAAATTTACTCTCTTGCTTCAAAGAAACTTGCAGGCACTGAATAGAATTGAAGATTATTTGGCAAATTAATATAAGAGCTTAATTAGAAATGATGTACAAATTAACATCAAGTATAAAAAATGATTCATATTTCTTTGTGTGGGGTCTACTTTCTAACTTAAACTCTGAGTAAGAAGCAACAAAAACCCTCTCCATATACTTTAAAATTAGTCCTTTTAATAATAATCTGTACTTCATTAATAATGTATTGTACTGCAAGTAAATAACTTTAATTTGTAGTTACAAATTAATGTTTAACAAAATATATACAGTTAATGTTATTTAGAAAACTTAGGCTTTGAGTTGTTGTTTCTGGGATTTGATCATTTACAATACGAGTTAAATGGTGTATGGATCAAAAGCACACATTCAGTTTTGCGAGCAAACGTCTCTGAATTTCCTCTCTGAAGGAATAAACAGTATTCAACTTTACTAATAACATTAGTACGTGATATACAAGTACAGCTATACGGTTTGAGTACATGAGGTTTTGGACCTAGTATATAAGCAGTCACAGAAAAATGCCCCGTTGTCTTACATCTCTGACTATATATACAGTGCCTTGCATAGGTATTGAACTTTATCATGAATTGTCACAACAAAGCAGCAAACTGCAGCAGATTTTTTGATTTATAGTGATAAACCAAAAACAGATATTTAAAAAAATAATAATAATTTTACAAGCAAAAATCTGAAAAGTGTGGCATGTATTTGTATGTGGGACCTTTCACTCTGACACCTCTAAATAAAATCCAGTGCAACCGATTGCTTTCACAAACATTCAACTAATCTGACAGACCAGGCTAGGAGAACATTAATAAGAGAAGCAGCCAAGAGCCAAAGCTCTGAAGGTGCTGCAGAGAGCCACGATGCAGGTGGTAGATTCTTTTGACCTCAGAACTAATAGTCTTGCACTCAAAGAATATGGTCCCATTGAAGAGTGAAAAGAGGAAGCCATTTAAAGTCATGCTTGCAGCGTAGCATGTATGAAACAGCACAAAGACCACATGCTGAAGTAGGTGGACCAAAGAGACCAAACATTGTGGCGTAAATTTCCAAAGGTACACACAATAAAAACTCCAACATCAGACATCCCTGAACACACCATCATGATTGTAACGCATAGTGTGAGGATGCTTTTCTTCAACAGAGGCAGGCTAACTGGTCAGAGCTGATGGGAAAACGGACAAAATACAGGGATATCTTTGAGAAAAGCATGTGAGAGGAAGCAAAGAACTTGAGCCTGGGAAAGACAACCCTAAACATGCAGACAGAGCAATGATGACATGTTTAAAGTCCAAGCTTGCTCATGTATTAGAATGGCACAGCCAAAGTCCAAATTGAGAATATTAAAAAGTCCTGTTTACAGACACTCTCCTCCCAATCTGACTGAGCTTGAGCTTTTTTTTTTTTTGCTTGGGCTTTTTTTTTTTTTGCAAAGAAAAATGAACAAATTACCATCTCTAGAGATGTAAAGCTGATGAAAAGACTTTCAGCTGAAACCACAGTGAGATGTGGTTGAACAAGGCTTTAAGTAAAAAAAAAACCCTTTTTGCAAGAGTAAAAAAAATGAGAAAATCATGCACAATTTTTTTCCTTCTGCCTCAGACTCATGCACTACTCTGTGTTGGAATATCAAATAAACAAAAATCATATATTAAAATTTGTGGTTGCAACGCAAAATGTGAAAAAAAGTTCAACAGGAGTGAATGGTTCTGCAAGACAGTGTACATAAATAGTCAGACCTGTAAGAGACTTGGGATGGTTAAGGGAAGCCAAACATAAGAGTCGCGGATATCTTCATCTGCTGACTTTGTGGAAGCTCAAGTGTGAATTTGTTGTTCTGAAGACTCTCAGTTCCAGGCTCTGCTTCACAGATCACTCTAACACACCAATACAGACAAAAAAAACAAAACAAAAAAAAAAACAACACACTCACTCCACTACACACATTATAACCTCTCTAATGTCTTTTGAAACTAAAGCCACGAATCACCCAACCACAACCAGAAAAAACAAAAAAAAAAGGAGCACATATCAAATGTCACAGGAGGCAAATGTAAGGTGCAGGATCGATTATAAACGCTATATTACATTACTTATCCATAGCAACGGAGCTACAGGTTTGGTTATTGGTGACGTCACAAACGAATACATGTTCAAAGTCAAAATGAGCGTTTGGTTATTGCTGGGTCAGACTGAAACTGAGCGCTACATCCTGGCAGAGAACAAAAATATTTTACTCTCATCTTTTATGACCATGTGTAACAGTTATTTGGTAAAGGATGTTACAATCTATTTGTTGTGCAAAACTCTGGATTTATAAGTGTGGTGTAAAAGTTTGGATAGGACTTTGAGGTTATATACTGTATTTAGCTGAGTAAAAAATAACTATTTCTTATTTATGCAGATGAAAGAGTCTGTTACGAGGTCTATGTCTAGCCTTTTTTTCAGTTTTGTCTTTTGTGTAAATGTCAATCTCCCGCTGTGAGTCTGCTCTTAAACAAGAAGAAGCCAAACAAAGTGCTTTAAATGCTACAGAAATTTGTTAGTTGTTGGAGTTCATCCTACCAGCAGAAAACAAGGGAGGTGGTGGGGGTAATTGTGAGGCAGTAGCCAGCCCGCCCATGGGGTGCAGCAGAGAGAGAGGCAGCTGGGTGCTGTGGAGGAGCTGTGGGCTGGACGCGGCAGAGGGCGTGGCGGCGGAGGATGGCGTTCCCAGCTGCGCTGGACCAGAAGAGTCCACGGCAGGGGAGACGAGGGGCAGGTTGAGGTTGAGGGGGTCACCGCAGTTTGGGACCACCATAGGGTTGGTGACGTGAAAGCACTTCTCCCTGTGGGCCTTGAGCATGTTGGAGAAGCGGAAGCGCTGACCACACACCTCGCAGGGGTACGGCTTCTCTCCGGTGTGGGTGCGGCGGTGGCGCTTCATGTTGGGCCGACTCGTGAAGCTCTTCCCACAGATCTCACAGATGTACGGCTTCTCTCCTGAAGGATAAAGGGCACCAGAGCTGTGTCATGCATCTTAAGCATTAAAGTTTAAAGCCTTAGATAACTTGAAGAAATGCCCAATGAGTCTAATTAGAAAGGGTTATTTACCCCCTGCCTTTCATTCAAGGTTAGTATTTACTGTTAAGTGTTTTTATAATGGCTTGCAAAAGTTTTGATAAGCATTTATTTGATAAACCGTCAACATATTTCATTAGGATTTAAATTGAATACAAATCAGAGAAGCAACAAGGAGGCTCATAGTGACTGAAGGAATGGTTGAGATTCACAGCTCTGAGAATCTGAATACATATTAGGAATAAACTACACCAATCTGCCCTTTATGGATTACCGGCATGAGGAAAGCCAATACAGAAGAAAAAAAGTAATAAAAATCCTGTGTGGCTTGCCGCAAGCCACACAGGGGACTAACTTACTTAATAACATAATGCTCATTGTTAACAACATAATGAAATAATATAATGCTAATTAACAACATAACAATACTGTTATTGTTATTTCAATAATAGTATTTCAATAATGATTTAGCACAATAATGTGCTAAATAAAACAACAGAGGACCAAAATTAGGTGCAATAAAGCAAAAACAAAAATACTGCCTGTGTGATATATTGTGTCATTTTATGCATAAAATATGAAAAAAACAGAGAATTGTTGACAAGAGTATGCATGTAATTCTTTCCCAAACTATGAAATAACTCTGTAACGCTTACAAGTGTGGCAAAAGTGACTTACCAGTGTGCGTCTTCATATGCTCGTCAAAGTATTGCTTCATATTGAAGTCCTTTCCGCACCACTGACACATGAACTGCTTGTGTCCGATGTGGATGCTCATGTGTGAACGCAGCTGGTATTTGTACTGGAAGCGCTCGCTGCAGCTCTGAAATGGCACACAGTGGACACACTTGATCAGTCTTCTAAAAATCACTTCTGGAGGAGGCAGTGCTCAATCAAACTAACATGGTCAACATCAAATTAGAGGCTGTTTTTGATGGAATGCTGTAAAATAGGATTTTTAATAGAAGAGACATGCAACAAAGGCAAAAGCTGCAATAACTGGGATCCTTATTGTAATAAAAGGCTAGCAAAGCTGGATTTCACCACCATGGTCATTTCTTACAAGTCTTAAAAACTCCTACAGCACTGAAAAAGGGATCTCAAACCTCACACTTGAAGGGTTTCTCTCCTGAGTGCTGCAGAGAGTGGACCTTCAGGGACATGCTGCGCTTGAACGACTTTCCACACGTTTCACAGGTAAACGGCATGTCCTTAGTATGGGCTACACAAACAACAAAATACACAAACATTAAAAACACACCCAGACCTCAATCCGATAAAGAATTTGTGGCTACACTTGACAGAGCTCATACTAAACAGTTGTGGATGGAAAAAGTGAGTAAAACTTCACCATCTAGAAGTGCAAGTCCGACTCAGACCTACTCAGACTCTACACTTAAGGTGCATCTATAAAATTCTACCTTCAACTTGGTGACTTTTATACAAACTCTAATGTTACGTTTTACATTTAATTGTCATCATTTTGGTAGAAATATTATTTTTTTCTTATTTTTTTCAAAAGTTCACAAATCTGTTAACCATAACTGATTTGTTAAAACATCCAAGGAGTGAATACTTTTTACAGGCACTGTAAATATGAACAACAGATAATATATGCAAGATATCTTGGATGGATGTACACAAGCAGTCTGGGAAAGTAAGATGGCTATGCTCTAGCAAAAGTGGAAAAGGAAAGCAACACCCAAAACAAATCCTGCTTAACAATTAAAAAGTTGTAGAGGAGGAAGCCCAAAGTACACAAGGGAACGAGGTGATCCAAGGAAATAGTTGATGGCAGTGTCACTCACCGACCATGTGCTTCCTGACGTGAGCCATGGTGTAAAATTTCTTCTCGCAGATCTCACATGAGAACTTCTTCTCTGCGTAGCCGTGGACTATCTTGTTGTGCTCGTGCAGCGACCACAGCTTCTTGAAAGCCTTTCCGCAGGTCACACACTTTCAAAGCATACAATGAAGAAGAGGAGATGTTGTGATTACTGGGTTTAAGAGGGTTTGGCATGTTTGAGGGGTTAAAATTCTAACCAAGAATTTGTTGGAAGACTTGAAAATTTATGTTCACATAAATTTTCAAAATAAACATTGCTCTATCTCAATCAAGCACAAAAAGACTTGTGCTTGATTGACAGCAGAGGTGGTTGCACAAAGTACTGGCACAGATGGTTGAATACAAGTAAATGCCACATTTTCAGAATTTTGTATACAACTTTGAAAGGCAGTTCTGCTGTTCCTTCCACTTCCCCATAATCTGAACTCTGAAATGTGAGAGCGTAAGCAGTTCAAACCTGGATGCTCCGCTCACAGTCTGTCTGTTGGTGCAGCAGCAGCTCACTCTCCAACAGGAAGCGCTTCCCACAGTTGTTGCAGATCTGCATGCGGTTGTGCGTGACGTTCATGTGCTTCTCCAGGTACCAGCGGTTGTTGAAGATGCGAGGGCATTTTTTACACGGGAAGTGTTGCTTTTCCTCCAGCCTGACCTTCTGACCTAGGCCCTCTGCATCCAGTGCCTTCTTCCCGCCCTGTCGCTGATTGGTCAGGGTGGCCTCTGCGAGCGTCTGACGCATAGCAGTGGCGCCCACCACGGCTAAGGCTCTGGTTCCCCGGCGAGGTCGATCCATTATGGTGGGCTGCTCCAGTCCAGGAATGTTTAGGGTGTTCTCCTCCTCCTCCTCCTCATTTTCCTCTCCACTGTTATGCCCCAGTATGTCTGTCCTCTTTAGATCTTCATCGCCCTCCTCTTCATGTCCGTCACCATTCTCCATCTCATCGTCCTCATCACCCTCAGAGTCTCTCTCATTTTCATGACAATGGCCAAACATGGGTTCTATGACTGTGGAAGATTTTCCATCGGATCCCTTTGAGACGTTCAGGGTCTGGTTGTTGAGGTTGACTTCAACAATGATCTGATCTCTGTTGAAGGAGGTGTGACCATCCGCTGGTTTTGACTCCTCTCCGCCGCCCTCCACTTTACAGAGAGTGGTCACACCCGTGCTGGCCCCGCCTCCGGGACCCTCCTCTTTCTGATAGTACTGCTTTGTCTGGGCAGCAATCTTTCCCACCTCCTCCACTCTAATGGAGAACAGGCTGCTGCCTTCTCTCGTGTAGACCCTGCCAAGCTCAGACTCCTGTTTGATCTCCCGGTACAGCTGGCAGGGAGGCATCTCAGCTGGGTCAAACCCTTCCTGATTGGCCATCTCTCTGCAGGTGGCTCTCAGCGAGTGGCTGCTGAGGAGATCTCGACAGGACGCCGCGATGTCACTCATCTGAAGCACGGTGGCAGCGTTCAACACGTCCCGGACGGTGCTGCTGCTCACCAGCAGCTTGGAGGTGTAAATGAAGTTGAGGATCTGCTGGAGGCCCTGAGAAGTCAGGGCATCCAGGGACAGATCCACGCGCCGCAGCTGTTTGCTTTGGGCGAAAAGAGAATGGAAGAAGGGGCTGTAGGCTGCCAGTACTCCCTTGTGGGCAGGAAAAGTGCTGCGCTGGCGCACCAACACGATGTCCACGTCACAAAGGTCAGGCTGGAAGAGGCGCTGCTCATTCAGCCTGTCCATCAAACAGGTGAAGTGCAGAGCCACATCCTCCACTAGAGAAAACTCAGCAGAGGGGAAGTCTGTGGTCTTCTCCACTATGAGCTGAAACCAAAATAGAGACAAAGAGTTCTTCAAAATTCACATAAAAGGAATTTAAGTGACAGAAAAAAAAAAAGACAAAACTATGGATTCCCAGCTCTGTTCTTTAAGAATCACGGTTTTGCATGATTCAGGCTTTTGCCCACTGCTACTTACTAAGTTAAATTAAAGTTTGTTTAAGAAGTGTGAGTAGTTACAATTGTTGCCTTAAAATAAGAAGGTCCTAGAATGTTTCTGCTTGGCTCAGAGTCTCTCGGTACACCTCGTCCTGCCCAAAACACGCATGTTAGGTAAGCTGGTGTCTCTTAATTTAGCTTAAATTTTCCATAGACAAATTGCTCAGAATATAATTGACCAAAATGAATCAGTGTGTGTTTGTGTGTGCGCGTGTGTGTGTGCGTGTGTGTGTTGGAGCAAGAACAGTTGAAAAGAGTGAAACAAATTTGCAGATTATGACCCAGGTCTAAAAATATGACTATTAATTCCTGTAATTACAACTTAGTCATTGGTACACGCAGAACTTTTGAAATGTTTGCTTCATTTTTTGCTACATTTCTGGTAATTAAATCCCCCAACTCAAAATACAGTACAACAAAGAAAATAAGTATGAAACCACTCATAATTAATTCATAAATTTTAAAACTTCAACATCTCATATATGTAATATTTCTGCCATTGAGTTTCTCTGATTAGGGCCATTTATAGGAAAGGGAGTTTTTTTTTTAAAGCTGAAAATAAATTATGTGCAAACTAATATTGATAGGAAAGCATGAAGACAAAAAGAAATAAACAAGAACAGTAAAATTCTGTCAACTTCTGTGATCCAAAAAGTCAAATCAAATAATTAAGTAAATGATGCAAAAATAAACTCTCATGCCAGTTTCTGTGCATGCTTTAAAGTGTTGGGCTGCAAGCAGCGTGTGACCCAAGTCGGAGAGAAATCAAAGGTGTAACAATCAGCACTCTGTGCAAGGTCCTCGACATCCCAAGGTGGGTTTATTTTAGCACAGGAAGGGCAGGGTTTCGATCCAGACGGGATGTGACTGAGGACACAGCGGCAAGCAAACAGAGTGCAGGCGGCCGCGCGCACACACGAACACAGCACACACATGGGATGTCCAATCTTCCACCAAACCCACACACACCAGACAAAAACACAGTGTCTGGTGTCTCTGCAAGGACTGACCGGCCTGTGAATTGGTATTCAATGCCATTCCTCCTCCTATTAGTCGGGCCCAGCAGCACACCCACTTGGTACACTCTCCCCGAGGGAAGACGAATCATGCACACAACAAAACATGTCAGGAGAAATAATTAGGGAAACCTTGTTGAATAAATACTTGCTAATCCTCTAAACAAATAATAGATATTAGAATTCAGGAGTAATTTAAAAGCGCTGATACGAACGGCGCTTATACTAAATGCTGTAAATGATCCAGCTAAATTACCACGACATAATGACATTAACTTAAAACGATAAACTTCTATGTAGCAGATTCAATTCTGGATGGGGATGAAATGCACCGTTTTCTGCTCTTTGCACCATTTTTCCATCACATATTTTCCTCATTAGGATTTATAATGCTTTGTTGTCATTGTTCAGGCTGAGAAATAGATTTGCATTCTCTCCTAACCTTGAGAATCCGCTCTGTTCGAGGAATTCAATTATCTAGTTTTAGATTTATTCATAGTTCTGAGCTGCTAAATTGAACTCAGAATGAGAGGAACAAAGATTGGGATATCTCCCTCAGCACAAGGCTTCAGACATTGCCTGAGGGTAAAATGCTACAGTTGTAAATTTCAAAGTGTAAGTTTCACTCCAAGGTCAATAATGACCTGGTCTACCTTCAGGAACCAAAGCAACCAAGCTGAAGGCCTGGACTGGAGGTCGGATAGAAATGTTTGAAATAAACAAAATTGTTGGATTTTATTTCTTTAAGCTGATTGGGAAAGGAAGGTGCCACCACTTTTTGTCGGACCAAAAAACTGGAAATTTTTTATCCAAAATATTTCTACTTTTGTTTGTTTAATATAATGATGGAGTTCTGGTCCAACAGACTCAGATTTTGAGTGTTTTTCAGACAGTTTTATTCACATGTCCTTATATTTATATGGCCAAGATTAATCTTTTCATAAAGTCAGTCAACTTGATTTTTACAAAATGAATTAAAAATTTAGCACAAAACTGTTCACAGTCTATTGTGTGAAAAAGTGCTTATTTCACTACAATCTTATGTCATAAGAATCCAACACCACAGTGAAAAGTTGAACCAAACACCAAAAAGTCATCAAAAATCAAAAAAGAAAACATTACAAATGTCTCCTTATATTTCATCCAAAAGCAAATAGGGAAAAGAAGCAAAGTAACCTCAGAACAAAGACTTGAATTTTAAGCTGTATGTAGAAGACCAAGTCATGTCAGAAAAAAAGAGCCCAGGCACCGTACTGTCAAAATCACAGAAGGAATTATTAGTTTTACAAAAAGACGGTGTGAACCAAATGGTTTTAAACTCAGGCTAGTGTTATCCAATGTGTAATTCAAGTCAGACTTAAGATCAGTTTTAGTGTCAGATGGTCAGCAATGAAAACAAATAATCAGCACAGAAATGCAAATATACAAACCTGCAGGTTTTGCACAAATCTACAAAAAAAAAAAAAAGGATTCCATCACAGATTCATCCATAAACAAAAAACGCTGCACTGCTTTTTGCTTGCAACAAAAACATTCAAACGCAGATGGTCTGAGTAATAATCAACAGGTTCCTGAATAACAAAGAGCTTTTGGTAAATTCATAAGGAACTTTGTTTCAAACTGACGGATGCTTTATAAGACCCTAATTCAGCAGGAAACAATCGTACTGCAACCAAACAAACTGAGCATGAACTCTAATCCAACTCCCATGATCTCTCTGTCTTCTCGGAAATGTCAGAGAGAGAGCGTGTTTTCCACCGTCAGAGGAGCGCCTCCTTTAACCAGCCTCTCAGTCAAATGCCTCACTCTACATTATTCATATGTGGCTCGACCTGAGACAAACTCACAGTAATGAAGATTACCCGTACACCCCGACGCAGGGCGACTATTATACTGGCTTCAATCAAAGCATCGCACTAACAGTTCAGTCACAGATTATTTCATCACTGGTCCAAGACAGCAATGTGACAAGATCCCTCTGCACTGTAGGGGCCTCAAAGGGCCCGTTTCACAAAGCAGCTTTCAAAGGTCACACAGTTAAGTCAAATAAAATCATTTTTCACTTTGATACAGAATATTTTAATCCTTTGGATGTGATTTAGTGAAAGGGAAAGTTGTTGTTTGGCAAAAAAAAAATCCTGACTATGAAAGATTACAAATGTTTAATCTCTCACTTGCTAAGGGCTCGACATGCTTGTCTGCATCATGATGATCGAGCTAACATGAGTGCACATTCACACTAACTTCATTTCAGATGCAATCGAGTCTCACCAGGTGGTTTTGTTTAATCTTGGTCTGTGAAAGTTGGACAGGATGAACCTGGAAGTCCAATATGGACCAGCAGAGTGGACGTCACAAGATATTTTAGGAAGAGAGTTTTTGTTCATTTTCTTGGAAATCTGAGCTCTGATCAGTAAACGTCACTGCATTCAACTGTCTTTTTCTAGTTGCAAATTGGAAAATGATGATTCAAATTGTTGCTAACAACTAGGAGCAACACAAGCTAGAAGCTTAGCATTTTCCTGCACTATCTGTATTCAAAGGTTTTGAGGAACTAGGGTTGGTGATCAGCTTTGTGGTCAAAACGTTGTGTATCTCAATCCTCTGCCAGCAATCAAATACTTTGTAGAGAAAAGAAAAAACAAGCATTTGGCCATGTACTATTTTAATACCACAGTAAATATCTGCCAAAAATCCTGAAATTTTGAAAGGATTTCCATATCTACAAGAAAAAACTTGGATATTATGTCAGAAATGCGCAAATTTGCGAGAAAAACATAAAATTTTTTTATGATAAAGTTAACTAAGATTATAAAGTCAATGCCCTGACGTGTGCTGTTTGCATGCATGTGCTGCCATGCGTATTTTTAAATTCAAATAACTTACCAATTAGAAAGGTAGAAGCTCTGCAGTCTAATAAATTTAACCACTGAGAGGCAGAAGTCCCTTTAATTCATTTTAAGCCTTTCATTTAACAGCTGCAACATTCAAGGTCAAAGCATTTTATGCAGGTACGTGCCACTTGTCAAAGATAGCCAGATTCTGAAGAAAAAAAATATTCCTGAAAGCTAATGAAGTGCAAAAGATATGACAAGAGTCCTTTGATTGAAAGCTTAACTTTCTGACTCTTCTGGCACTTTATGTTTAATCCAGTTGGGTTGCAGCTGTGATGGATGATGCACAAAATTACAGCTCTGCCTGAGTGGAGCCTGCATTACTTAAGAGAGAGGGCAAAAAAAGATAACTTATCACGTTGTAGTTAATTTACTCCTGGACTCGTTACCTTCAGATGTTACTTTGGTGTCAAAGTGAGCGTGTCAGTCAAAGTGATTAAAGGAACCATGTGGAAACCTCACCTAGATCAGCCAAGTCAAGATGGATGGTTTGATTCTGGCATGATCTCGGCTCGACTGGACCTGATCCAGACTGTAAGGATGAAGTGCCACTTGCTAATTTCACTACTGGCCACTATTACCCCACACCTTACACAAGGGGGCTCACAGAGGGGTGGGCTGGTCACCTGGTGCAGCGGGCGATACCCGTGGGGCCGACTCGCATCAATGGACTGGTCCGGGGCGGCCGTATTTTAACCATAAAAGCATATAAACAGTTTTTGTCAGTCATTACAGCGGATTGGTTTATTTTCTTGAAGAACATTGAGTTAATATAATTAAATCTCTCAGCCACTCTCCTCTCCTTTGACCAAACTTGTCAGATTTTGTCGTTTGAGCTAACCTAATAGCAGTAGTAATAGTAAATTAAAAGATAAAATAATAATAAAAAGAAGAAAGTTAAAAAATTAGAACTAATA